ATAATTAAAAACAAGAATCGGTTATGGGGCACTTAAAGCTAAAATAATCAGTGTCAAATAATAATTTGAAAAAATTATCTCCAGTGTCATTAACAATATGCATCACACAAGTCAGATAAAGCACCTAATTTTGATGATTCATCAGCAGGCCTTACATGAACTTTACAAAGATGTACTTCTAGAGACAAAAGATATCTATGTAGGAGTGGTCACAGCCTAAGAACACTAACAGCTATTTAAAAAAGTGCATATAACATGTGATGGCATGACATTGATTCAGCATGCAGAGTGAAACAATGGAACATGAAGACAATCACAGATGCTGTGTCAAACTCGTTGACCTAAAGCACAGCCCCATGAATACAGGGGAATCTACATCCTGCAGATATTTTAAGACTTCCTCACATCCTCGGAGATGGTGGACATTTGGAACACTGTAAAATCCCGTGGGTAACGTTTACAAAGAACAGGGGCTGATTTCAGCCGTCAAGCCAAGGAGATGTCTGTCTCCTGTACAAATGTCAATGAATTATTCAACATATGTATCGACGCATTCACCGCAATGACAAAACGAGTCTAGAGGCGACGGTAAGAAACTAGTGCACTCACGTGAAATCTGGGCCGGATTTAGAGAAGAGTCAGCATGAATAACGGGAGAAAGCGTTTTTCATTGTCAATGTCCGATAAATAATCCCGTTTTTACGTTTTTTTTCATGAAAAATATACATATATATATATATACATATTGGACACATTTAACATTGTCATAACTGAGTGTGACGAGAATGTTCTCCTTATTATCATTTAAATAAAATGCATAATGTGTGTTTGCTGTTGTCAAGTGATTCTTTGGTTTTTACTGTATCAAAAATCAGAAATAGATCATAATTAAAAACAAGAATCGGTTATGGGGCACTTAAAGCTAAAATAATCAGTGTCAAATAATAATTTGAAAAAATGATCTCCAGTGTCATTAACAATATGCATCACACAAGTCAGATAAAGCACCTAATTTTGATGATTCATCAGCAGGCCTTACATGAACTTTACAAAGATGTACTTATAGAGACAAAAGATATCTATGTAGGAGTGGTCACAGCCTAAGAACACTAACAGCTATTTAAAAAAGTGCATATAGCATGTGATGGCATGACATTGATTCAGCATGCAGAGTGAAACAATGGAACATGAAGACAATCACAGATACTGTGTCAAACTCGTTGACCTAAAGCACAGCCCCATGAATACAGGGGAATCTACATCCTGCAGATATTTTAAGACTTCCTCACATCCTCGGAGATGGTGGACATTTGGAACACTGTAAAATCCCGTGGGTAACGTTTACAAAGAACAGGGGCTGATTTCAGCCGTCAAGCCAAGGATATGTCTGTCTCCTGTACAAATGTCAATGAATTATTCAACATATGTATCGACGCATTCACCGCAATGACAAAACGAGTCTAGAGGCGACGGTAAGAAACTAGTGCACTCACGTGAAATCTGGGCCGGATTTAGAGAAGAGTCAGCAACGGGAGAAAGCGTTTTTCATTGTCAATGTCCGATAAATAATCCCGTTTTTACGTTTTTTTTCATGAAAAACTGCAGTCCTTTTCTCCGAATGGGAGAGTCGGTAAGGAGGGGACAGTGAACTGAGATTGTGGGCGTGTGCAAATGCAAAAGATGTTCGTTCATTGGTCAGCACCGGAATAGGAGGAGCTACGATAGCCAATAAGAGTTAGTATTTTGGAATATGTACTTATTTAAAATGTATTTCTGAAAAGGAGTGATTCACTGGTTGTGGGGCTTTTGGTTCATCCAAGATGTTCGTTCATTGGTCAGCACCGGAATAGGAGGAGCTACGATAGCCAATAAGAGTTAGTATTTTGGAATATGTACTTATTTAAAATGTATATCTGAAAAGGAGTGATTCACTGGTTGTGGGGCTTTTGGTTCATCCCAGTGACTTGAATCTTTTGAATCTGAAGAAGAAAAAAAAGAAAAAAGATTCGTTAACTGATTTGTTTACTTTCTGAAGGAGACAACGGTAAATGCCTGTATGTGTAAACAACATTTGGAAACAAGCAGAGTAACGTTACTGTTTCTACAGCATGCAGTGCCATCTGTTCAAAACTAAGCTCAGAATCGACTCTAGAAAGAATCGCGATGCATTCGGAAAATCTCAGAATCGATGCTGAATCATTTGTCGATTCGCGATGCATCGATTTATTTTCCCAGCCCTAATATATACAGTGTTGGGGAAAGTTACTTTTAAAAGTAACGCATTACAATATTGCATTGCAATATTGCTTGTTTGTTTTTAAAATAAAAAAGTTATATTTTTGGCAAACGTAAAAGCCTTTTCACACCAAAAGTGAAATGAATAAGCTTCAGGCTGAAGGGAAAGTACATTTACGTCCGTACAGTAGAATGCAGAAGAAGAAATTGCAACACACTTCAGCAATAAAAAAAGACACACAAATGTTTGTGTAGAGTCATTTTTGCTTATTAGTACGGTTGAACTGGATCATCGAAGGTCAGAAGCAAAGACATGGGTTAATAGAATGGGATTAAATACATAAAGGATATTTGTGTTGTTTAACATTTAATTATTGCAGGTTTGTGTCATATTCTGAGTTGCATTATTTTTTATTAATTTTGAGGAATCAGTTTTTTTTTTATGAGTGAGATGAATTAATGCATATTCATATTTATTTTAGAACTACAGTAACATCTGATTTCTCTCAACATGGGGACAGGAGAGCTGTCAATCAATACATTGAAAAAAAGTAACTTGCGTTACTTATTTGAAAAAGTAACTCAGATATTCTCTTGTAAATTAAAAAGTAATGCGTTACTTTACTAGTTACTTGAAAAAAGTAATCTGATTACGTAACTCGCGTTACTTGTAATGCGTTACCCCCAACACTGAATATAGATATATATATATAGTTCTCTAATTGCTGGGCTTCACTTTTATCAAGCTTTAAAAAGACAAGACATAGAAAAGTAAGTGACGCGCTTTAAATGGAGCGACTTGACTCATTCAAAAAAATGACTCGTTTCGTTCACTGGAAAGAGTCATTAAAAAACAGCGATTCGTCCACGAACGAAAGGCCACTGTGATGCACTGTAACAGCTATTGAGGAAAAGAGATTCCTGAATAGCTGCATCTTCTGACTGGTTGAATTTCAGTCTTTATCTGCAAATGTTTTGGTGAAAAAAGAAAACAAAAATAAAAACTGCAAGAGAACTGCAATCATATTACAAAACTAATTAATTCCAAAGGGGAGGAGACATCGCAGTAGGACACACCCTAGAAAGACGTCTCAAGATGGCAAGATTTTTCTTAAACCCAATTCTGGCAACAATGTGTGTGTGTGTGTGTGTGTATATATATATATATATATATATGGCCGTAGATGATATAAGTGAAAGTAAGTAAGGCTGTGTGGGTGGGGTTATGAGGCTGCAGTCCAAGGGCTGGGCTTTGTTTACAGATGGGTGGGGGATGTAAGACTGAAGTCTTGGGCTTTCATTATGAAAGTGGTTGTTGCTATGGAGACTGCATCCAGCCTAAGGCAGCCAGATGGCTGAGGCAGACCGTCTCCCGAGCCACGTCAGCAGACGGTACATTAAGACATAGACTGAGCATTATTACACATTTGCTTATCATGTGCATTATATGGTGTGCTCTACCAAAAACAAATAAATAAATAATAATGTCAGCTGATTTTCTTATTTTATACTTTATATTAAATATTGTGTAAAATACATTTGTATTATAATAATAATAACTTCAAAAAATGAAATATTTAACATCTATTATTCACATCGACAAACTGCAACTGAGTGATGAAAATGAGAATATTATTTATTTTCTATTATAATTCCAACCAATATAATAAATACTGGTAATGCTCATTTTGTTTTATATAATAATAATAATAATAATTAAACAAATGAAATAATGTCATATTTAACATATTTATATTTGTATTTATACTATACTATTACATTTTGGTTAATCAAAATTCTGTTTTTATAATAATAATTTAATAATTTTGTGTTTTTGTATTGAAATAAAGACCTATCATTCCAACATTTCTGTTATTAAATGTACAAACTGTTTATTCATGTGTATTTAAAGAAATTAAAAAGAAATCTCTAAACAATTCAAGCATCTGAAATAAACAGCATTTAGAAATGTACTGTAACAGCATGAAATCATACATATTACACAGTTCCTAGGCTTTTTTTAAAGCCACCAAAACCTGTCCTATACATTCCAAAGAGCCATTTTCAGGATCAACTGGACTATAACCATAGCATGTTGTGACATTCAATCAGCGCTTGACCCTTTATTCTCAGTTCTTTGAGACTGATGATGATTCACTCACACATCAGCCAAACACCCCCTCCCCCAAAACTCCACCCCCACAGAGTCTCAGGCTGTCTAGAAGACCACCTAATAATGCAGACCTATGGGGACCCTATGACATTATCTGTTCTCCCTAACTAAGCCTCAATGTCCTTCTCATTAGTAAGCTCAGCAGACAAAAACATTTACAACCATGAATAACTGCATCAACAAGCATCTTGTTGTGGTCACATCTACAACACACACACACACACACACACACAGACAGACAGATAAATATAGCTGGCCTAAAAACAGGGAAATAAAACCCATGTAAAAATGCACTTAAGCATCTTAGTGTATGTTTGACTTATGTCCTAACTGGAACATGGTCTCTAATTTAAAAAAAAAATCTTATATTGAAAATCAAATGCAGAGGTTTTACCAGCAATGACTCAAATAAAAGACTTTCTTTCATTTTTAGAGCATTGAAAACCACAAATTACATGAAACTCTCTATTTCATCATGGATAGGGCTGGCCTAAAAACAGGGAAATAAAACCCATGTAAAAATGCACTTAAGCATCTTAGTGTATGTTTGACTTATGTCCTAACTGGAACATGGTCTCTAATTAAAAAAAAAAAATCTTATATTGAAAATCAAATGCAGAGGTTTTACCAGCAATGACTCAAATAAAAGACTTTCTTTCATTTTTAGAGCATTGAAAACCACAAATTACATGAAACTCTCTATTTCATCATGGATAGGCGAGTGCTTTGATCTGTGGACTGGTCTGTCAAAAGAAGGAGAATTTCAGACTGCAATGACCATTCAGAGACAATTTTCAGAAACATGATGTGGTATGGGCTAAGCTATCAGGTCAATAGAATAAAACTACTACTAATAATAAAACTTTAAATTATTCATCAGACAATACACTCTGACTGTGTACTCAAAGAGTACACTTATTTTCAAAGAAAAAATATTTTTGTTACAATTTGTGGTTTTATGTGTTGAATAACAACCAGGTTTACCAGCTATTTTGATTGGTCAGTATATCATCTAAACTGAGGATAATTATTCTCGAGTCTTGGTTCATTTTTGCAGCTACAGAAGCTGGATCATCATGGAAAAATGTCGTGTACTGCCCCCTTGTGTTGCATAAAGAGCTCTGCAGGTAAAATGTCTCGTTTTCAACTGATCTCAACAAGATTTTTGAATTCATTATGTTTTTAGGATGCTGTGTAATTGCATGTGCATTATTTTTTTCTCCTTTTATAAATAAATGTCCATTCACTGTTTTAACAAGCAAACAGTGACAAAGCACCAAGCTTGTTTTCCATAAACGCAGCACAACACCTGGCATGAATGCCTGAATAAACAGAAAACATGTTTTTGTTTTAAGATCATGGGTCCACACTGTCAGAATCAAGCTCATTTGATTTGTCTTTTTCACGCCAACGCTTAAATAAAGACATAAAGCTGAAGCCCTCTTTAGTGCTTTTAAATGATATTGTTTGGCTATTTCTCTTCCCAGTACTAAACTTCAAGCTAGGCTCTGTCTCTTCTGTCTTCAACTCTGGCTGGGCTTGTGATTGTGATGAGTCAACAGATTGTGATTCCTCTTGAGAATTAAGCGGCTTGGTTTCTGAATCTTCAACAGTCTCTGTAGAGTTTTGTAGTGTGGCAATCATACCGCATTCCACAGATTTCCCTTTTCCAATAACACCTATAGAGGGAGCCGGAGATGAGTTTAGATTACTAGGCACGAATAGATCCTCTTGGCTGGTAGTTTCACAACTGGCCTCGGGAAGTGCGATTGTGTGCCGGCGATTGATAATCTGGCCGTTCTGCAGCAGAGAGCTGGATTTAGAGGTGTTTTCTTCTATGGTCATAATCAGCAGCTGTCTTCTGTCTTCCTGGACGAACGTCTGCCTGGGAGACAGGATCGGTGACAGGGTCTCACCGGATGAAATGCTACTTCGACTGGACTGGAATTGTAAAACTTTCCGTGACACCTCTCTCATATTTTGCACCTCTTTCTCTATCTGGACATCTTCCTCCTCCTCCACCGTGAATACAGAGACACGTTGATTGATTGAGGAATCGGCACTTTCCTGCACCGGGCTTGAGATTGTAATCTCTGGGTGCTTGGGCGTCTCATCCTTATCAGTGCTCTCCTTGATCAAGGGGGATTGCATGGCCCTTTTGATCCAGCTGTCTCTCTTGACCTCTCTGTTGTCAGCGGGGCGTTTCTCCGGCGTAGTGGTCTCAGTAAGATTTCCCCGTGTGGGTGAACCGGTGCCGGCTCTACGGTGGGATTGGCGACTGTTAAACCTCTGTAGGATGGACTCCAGAGCAACTCCTTCCACGTCTTTGTCTCGTGAGGAGCAGGTGGCGGTGGAACGTCGCTTGGCTGCAATCTGAGTACGCTCTCGCTGTCTGCGCTTCACCTCGACCATTTCTCGTTCAAGATTCTCCTATATGGAGAAGAGAAATGACACAGGCATAAGGTCATACCGTATCATTACGTCTGTGGAAGCCATTACTAAAAATAGGATTTTTTTTTTAAGTGACAATATCTAAACAATTTTTTTTTAAACAATAATCTAAACAAAAAACATAAAAGTAATCTAAAATATAAATAACAAAAAACATTTATTATTCAAATATTTAATATAAATATTTACTATTTATTATTACCTAATGTAAAGACGTTATAGGTGCACATATGCACAAATATTCTTTTTTATGCAGCGTCATACAAAAGCTACACTACTGTTTAAAAGTTTGGGGTCTCTTTTATGCTCACCAAGACTGCATTTATTTGATCTAAAATAGAGCAAGATAGTAATATTCTGAAAAATGATTACAATTTTAAAAAGAAATTTAATATGCTGATTTGGTGATCAAGAAACATTTCTCATTATTATCAATGTGGAAAACGTTGTGCTGCTTAATATTTTTGTGAAAAAATTCATTTTAACATGATAAAGTCTTTACTGTCACTTTTGATCAATTTAATGTGTCCTTGCTGAATAAAAGTATTAATTTCTAAATAATAACTTTCTTAATAAAAATCTCACTGACCCCAAAATTAGTGTAGTGTATATTGTATTTGCTTTTCATTTTATGGAACAACTTCTTTGTTTGAAATTTTTCAAAATCCTAAAACCTTTCCAGGTTTAAACTGTCGTATCTGCACATCATTTCAAACATTTTTGTCAAAAGTACTATTGATTTCTTTAGTTGTAAAAAAAAAAAAAGCTTCTTTAGAAGGTGCAATTACCTGAACTGCTCGTTTGAACTTCTCACAGAAAGAGTAGAAAATGGAGCAACACTCCTCTAGTTTGAACTGAGTGGGATCCTCACAGAAATACTCCGCCACCGAATCACACACAGCAGAAAGGTTTTTGAACGCTGCCTCAGTCTCCGTTAACCTGGTGTCTGCATTCTACAAAAGAACAAAGAAAAGATCAATTGTAGAAACTCTTCTGACTTCTTATTTAACAAAAACATTTCATGCAGTCAGGGAAATGTTCTGATGTCGATATGTCAGCACATCAACAGTCAAAAGACTCAATAGTGTGTTACCATACCTAGAGACTTTAGACAAAAAGAACTTGCATATTCAGTGATAAACTAAATAGGTCTTGAGGCCTCACCTGCAGAAAATCCCTCATCTGTTCTTCCAGATCTGGCTGTTTACTAGCATTCTGCTTTGCCACCTGGACTTTACTCACTTCTTTTTGGAAATCAGATTCGATTTCCTGCTTATGGATCCTGTATTGCGGAAGACAGACAATTTTTAAAAATTGTAATAAAGCTGAAACCAAAACTATAAATATTAAATGCAAAACTTTAACTTCAACGAAAATTAGAAATTTTGTTTTGGCAACTAACAGTTAAAAGTTAGTTGTAAGTTAGTTGTAGTTCTCTTTAAAGATAAAGAGAAATATTTAAAAAAATAAAAACTAATAAAAATGACAAAGGCACAAGACAAAATGACTAAAACTTATATTAAACTGAAAATTAAAAGCTTTTCAAAATATTCATAAATACTATAATAGTATATTAAGCATACTAAAATAACACTGGTTAAAATGCTGCTTTTATTGTTGAAACTTCATCACCAGATTTTTGTAACGTGTGTGTGTGTGTGTTTATATTCAGCTACAATTAAATTAATCACATAAAATAATTACAGGGAAGTGCCATATTTTTCAAACAGCAATGTGTGGCCTACCTTGCTGCATCTCCAATATGCTGTAGTTGCTCTGGGAACCTCAGCAGCAATGCATCAATCTTCTGAGCTTGCTGTGGTATCAGGCACATGCGAAAATAATTAAAATGGAAATAAAGCGGTGTGTCTTACGTGGCTCTGACACCACAGTATAATATTAAACATCATAGCTACCATCGCAACATAGTGCATGAGGTTCATTCCAGGCTTGTTGGCTTTGGTATCTGCTAGTTTGAGAAGAGATGGTATCCGGAAACCCACTGCGCTGCCAGCGTACCCTCCCTGGTGGAAAAGAGGACAGAACGATTAGGATCTCATGACAATGTAAACACACACAAGTGCAGCACATTATGCTGTTTTGAGGTTGACCGACTTTGCTCATTGTTAGCAAGCGTAACTAGATACAGTGGCATGATTATACTCACAGAGTTCATGTAGTTCCCTGTCTTCAAGACCAATCGAATGACTGAATGTAGATCAGCACATTCCAACAGCTCTGGAAATAGTTTCATACATGGGTCAGGTGAAATAAAATAAATCAAACATAGTCACAGGCATGCAGTTGCACTAATAAACAAAGCACATTTTTAAATTTCCGGGCAATCAAACCTATAAACTTAGTCATGCTCTAAGGAATTACATAAATAGGATGAACATTCAGTATGACAGTGCTTTTATAGGTGATATATATATATATATTAGGGCTGTCGATTTAACGTGTTAGGCTAATTAATTCATTATGAAAAATAATGAGATTAAAATTTTTTTATGCAATTAACGCACCCTAGGTAATTTACTCAACTTTTTCGTTAAGACATTTACCGCCACCTACTGCCAGTTTTAGTTTCTTATTTAAAGTATCATTTCATTAATGATACATTAAATGATAAAAGATTCACAAATATTCCCATATTAATAAAAAATCTGAAAATGAAAATCCATATTAGCTAAAAACAAATCTAAAAAGTTTCTTAAGCTACTTTTTCAATTTCTTTTGGGGAAATTTCTGAGCCAAATTTGATGTGTTATTAATTTGCAATTAATTAGATAATTAATTTAAAAATGTTAATGTTTTTCATATATATTTTTATTTATTTAGTCATTTAGCAGACGCTTTTATCCAAAGCGACTTACAAATGAGGACAACAGAAGCAATCAATTGTAGTATTAAAACAACTAAAAACAGATCCAAAACTAAAAGCTAAAACGTTATAAATACTACTTATACACATTTTAAAAATAAAGAAATTAAATAAAAATGACAAATGCATACAACAAAATTTCAAAACTTAACATTTAAATGAAAAACAAAAAATAAAGCTAAAAACAATTCAAAATATTAAAGAACAAAAGGTATAAGAGTATAATAATGATTCTAACATAACACTAAGCCAAACACCAAAAAAATAAAAATAAACTACATATATGTGTATGAACAACCATACACACACACACACATATATACAATATATATATATACATATATATATATATATATATATATATATATATATATATACACACACATATACATATACATACATACATACACAATATATATAAAACATTATTATTATTAAGTACATATAATAATTATAAATTACATATATATATATATATATAAATAATAAACAATTACAGGAAACAAAGTGTAACTTCCCTGCTTCAAAAAAGGGAAGAAGATTGACTTATAGGAAATAGAAGATGATCTAAATCTTACCTTGTCCAGCAGAGGTCATGACTGCAACAGAGTGATTCACTTCATCCATAAAATGTGAGAATTCCTCTTTGAGTACTAAACTGTTCAACCGTTCCTCATAGCTAGAGGAAGAACAAACAAAGAAATAAAATCATAAAGTTCACTTACATTTAGAGTAATTTTCAGTGACCTGCAAACCCAATGTCTTGTATTGATAATCAATGCCTGGCAGTGGAGATAAAACATGAACAGTACTGTGCAAATTACTTTGTATCGAAGGTGCTCTGTGTACAGTTGTGTAAGTGTGTGTTTGTCTTTGTGTGGCTGTATACACCCACCAAGGAACTTTGACAAGTTGTACCATGAACCGATCTGCCTCGGAGAGAGTTGAATAGTCTCCTTTAAAATCAAGAAGCTGACGCACCTAATGAAATGAAGAAACACAATACATAACAGTAAGATTTTAGGTCAAACCAAATGAAATTTCATTTTGAAATTCAAATGAAAGTGCTGCATAAAACACAAACGTTTATTCAAATGCCATTGGCACACTATCAAAACCTTGGAATTGCTCAACAAGTGTAACTAAGGCCCGGATCCATATATTACACCCACCTCTCCATCCTCTGGCAGTAGTTTGCACAACTCCTTCAGTTTCCCAGTACCAAATCTTTCTCCTCTACAGTTGATAATGTCATCAATCATTCCACTCACTGACCTATGGAGAAAGATGTGGTAGAATTACTGATCAAGACCTCCACAGACTATCTCAAGAGTTACAAAATCTCAGATTTTCCAGAGATTAAATGGAATTGGATCCCTCCTAATATCACTATATAAAACCCCAGTCTTCCTTATGAAATGTAAGGCAGATAAAATAAAATAAAATAAAATAAAATGGAATTGTATGCATCATACATGATTTTTTTTCAGGCTTGTAATTCAAATGAAATAGCTGCATAAAACATTATCATTTTATTTTAAAATACAATTCTTAAAATACTCTCTCCTATTCCAGTTTAATGTGCAGTGACAACAAAGATATTTGAAGGTTAATTTTCCAGTAGTGTAAACACTGCTATTATATGGCGTGTCAACATTGCTCCATTTGTTTGAGAGGCCCAACACGGCAAAAGTGACTTAACCAATGGCATGTGCTTGGGGGTGGGACTACCCGTTTGTCCATCAAATGGCAGCTGTTGGAAATGTCTGAGAAACTTGTATGAAATCAATTCATACTTTCACTGCTAGTGGAACAGACACACTTCATCTTTAAATAGCCTGATAACATTGTAAAACTCAAAAATGACAAATGACACATCCGTAACAACAGTATAGAGGAAGTGGCCAACATATGGACTTCCACACTGAGTCATACTTCACCTTGTTCTTACTAAAAAAATACCGGGACTAGACAAGCCCAATCTTGCTTTTTTAGAGATACACAAGCAAACCAAACTGGTATCACAAGCTCTAGCACTAAAAAATGTATGTGTTCATTCTAATGTAACTTCAGTCTAAGTTAAACTGTCACAATCAACTGATCAGTATCTGAGGAGAAACACTGCATGATTAAGGGAACCACTGATGATGTAAATAATGCAAACCCCATCTTATCTTCATGCTTGTAGTCTGGTAGAAAAGGTGTCTGATGTTGTCAGAAAAAAATTCATTTGGCTTGCAGAGACATGTGAGCAATCTATCGTATGACTACTGTGCGTTTCCACCCAAACATCTGCTGACGAAATGAAGAGCTTTTCTAAATACTCTTTCGTGATACACTCACCTTTTGAACTGCTTGAGGAAGATACCAATGTTCATGTTCTTCTTGGAGTTGAGGATGGTCACCTGGCAAGGGAAAAAATGTCATTATACTGTATGGACAACGTTTGACAATGACAGCTTTCAGACTGATTGTTTTTTTTATGTATATTACATAATTAACATGTAAACAGATTGTACCAAGTAGTTACTCCACCCTAATGTGTTTAATTATTTATGAGCTATGAAAAACTAATTATGATTTATGAACAACAACAACCCTGCCTATTAATTTCTTGCATTAAGAATAATCACCGGAACGTTGTGATGATGTGATTCAACTGTTGTAAAATTAGATGTTCTGCATCACAGTGTTTTTGAAATGAAAGCTATTCAATATTAGTGGAGTCCACCTTATGTAAACACTTACAGAAAAGAAGAAATCACTCCACCTTTAAAAAGAGTTCAGATCAAAGGACAAACATAGTCGAGTGGCGTCTATAAATGACACAGCATTGTCTTTTATTATTTGCAAGAGAAAGTTACATCAAATATAGTTACTAGGATGTTTTTTTTCTGGCTGTGGGCCATTGCATGACAAATCATGATTACAACACTAAAAATGTCAAATCTTTCTAAAAGACTAGCTGAAAAACAATCACATGGGATTTTTCTGGAAAACACACCAGTCCCAATTTGACATCAGACTGTTAAAGGAACACTCCACTGTTTTTGAAAATAAACTCATTTTCCAACTCCCCTAGAGTTAAACAGTTGAGTTTTACCGTTTTCGAATCCATTCAGCCGATCTCCGGGTCTGGCGGTAGCACTTTTAGCTGTAGCTTAGCATAGATCATTGAATCTGATTAGACCGTTAGCATCTCGCTCAAAAATGACCAAAAAGCTTCAATATTTTTTCTATTTAAAACTTGACTCTTCTGTAGTTACATCGTGTACTAAGACCGACGGAAAATGAAAAGTTGCGATTTTCTAGGCCGATATGGCTAGGAACTATACTCTCATTCCGGCGTAATAATCAAGGAACTTTGCTGCCGTACCATGGGTGCAGCAGCAAAGTTCCTTGATTATTACACCGGAATGAGAGTATAGTTCCTAGCCATATCGGCCTAGAAAATCGCAACTTTTCATTTTCCGTCGGTCTTAGTACACGATGTAACTACAGAAGAGTCAAGTTTTAAATAGGAAAAATATAGAAACTCTTTGGTCATTTTTGAGCGAGATGCTAATGGTCTAATCAGATTCAATGAAGCTGCAGCTAAAAGTGCTACCGCCAGACCTAGAGATCGGCTGAATGGATTCGAAAATGGTAAAACTCAACTGTTTAACTCTAGGGGAGTTGGAAAATGAGCCTATTTTCAAAAATAATGGAGTGTTCCTTTAAATTTCCTTTTGGTAAACTTCCCTTTTTTCCATTATCTATCTGATATTAGTTACCAATTAGTTCTGTATTATGTGACTTTGGCAGAAGTTAAGCCAGTTTTTAAACAGATGTTCTCTGACAGAATGTCATAGCCACCTTTTGCTGAATTTATTATGCAATGAATTAAACTTACCAAAGAGTAAAATTATGACAAAAATAGTAATTGGTCCACAATAGCATGCATAATTTACACTATAAAAAGTAATAACATGCAATTGTTTCCTTAATCAGTTTTATCTTTATTATTATTATTTTATCTAATCTATGCATTCACAATTAGTTTTATGGATAGAGTATAAGGAAGTCAGTTTGATTCAGTCACAACAGAATAGTTATATATATATATATATATAAAACAATTTATATTAAATGTTACATTAACATTTTATTCAAGTTCAAAATATAATTTAACATCACCAAATCAACCTAAATCCACTGGGTTGTACAAAAAGACTAAATTAAAGGGTTAGATCAGGTAGAAGTAGCTTTAGATAGTAATACTCTGATAGTACACTATGTGAAAGATAAGTGACCAGAGAGAAACGGTTTATGCAAAACTAGCAATTATGACACCTCCTGCATGCAGCATGAGAATATATGATGCTTGAATAACCTTCAGCTCTGTAATCACTTCTACAGTAACAATTACAGAGCCTAAAATAAACAGAAGTTAAGTGAGGTTACAACTAACTAAAAGTAATTTCTATTACAGACTGTCGGGGACAGTCACTGACCCGACCCCAGTGACAAGCTTGATGTAAGCATATGCAGATCTCTCTGATGAAGTGAGTCTGGAAACACCCATTTACTGTAAGCTTGCAGGTACAAAACAAATTTTCTGGCACATTCTACCTGAACTCACCATTTCCGGTCCTGAGGCATGGCTCGGGGACTGGCGTACACTGCAGCGGTTTGTGACCTGGACCTGTTTCTGGTCATTGCGGCTGAATAGCTCTTCCATACCTTTGGTGTCCAACTCAAACTCACTGTTCTTCTCAGCTGTCCATATGTTATGTTTGCCAAGCACAGTGTCCTTAGGTATGGCCTCCCAATTAAAATTACGCATTTTAGAGGCCCGTGTCGGCCCTCTGGTAAACGGGCTTCCACCGGAGAAGAGGGCAGGGGGTGGAGGAGGAGGGGGAGGTGGGGCATTAGGTGGTGGTGGTGGCGGCGGTGGGGGTGGTATCATGATTTGGATGTCACTTGCAAAGATACTGCTGCATCATCCCTTTAAAGAAAAGCCAGAAAAAGAAACCATATGGAAACTGTGTCTCTATGTTAATATATGCTGTCATTTAGCTGAAAAGGGAAGAATTAGTGTAGATAGGGAAGTTAACCAAGAAACTAATAAGCAATGGTGAATACATAACTAACAAAACTATGACAGTGAAAAATACAGACTTTTTGTAGATATAATGGTGGAATTAACCCTTACTATATATATATATATACACACACACACACACACACATGGTCAATCAAGTCAAGGACTAGGTTACTGTAATAGTATACAGTACCATTTAAGTAGTTGGCCTATTGCATTGGTTTGGTAATCAAAATGTTTGTATATATATATATGAGGGTACCAAACTATTACCAGCAATGAACTGTGGTTTAAAAAAATGGTACCGAGATATTTTTTTGAAAGCTTTAAAAAGATTCTACAGATAAATATAATGGTGGAATTCTCTCTCTTTGGTCTATATTATATATATATATATATATATGGATGGTGGAATTCTCTCTCTCTCTCTAGTCTGTATACATATATAGACTAGAGAGAGAGAGAGTTCCACCAATATATTTATCTGTAGAATCTTTTTAAAGCTTTCAAAAAAATATCTCAGTACCATTTTTTTAAACCACAGTTCATTGCTGGTAATAGTTTGGTACCCTCATATATATACAAACATTTTGATTACCAAACCAATGCAATAGGCCTACTACTTAAATGGTACTGTATACTATTACAGTAACCTAGTCCTTGACTTGATTGTCCATGTCCATTGTATTTTATGGTAGCTTTGTATTTTTAATTCGTAGAAATGATTAACTTACTCGTTTTGAGAGGTATCCAGACGTCCCCCAAAAGAAACTATTATCTGACGAAATTACTTTGGCTATATACTCCAAACGGGAAAAACATGCTCCACGTTACTGTCACACGGGACTGTTGGTTACTGCATAGCCAGCCGTTCAGCGGAAGAGTGATGTTGCAATCATCTGCTCTTACCTGTAGCTCACGCCCAGAACTCGTCAGCGCATGTTTCAGATGTAATTCCCGTGTCACCGTTCAAATTTCAGAAAGAACCATATAAATGGGCATTCACCCAATTTAACATTTAACCGCAGTTTCACACGGGTTAATATTTCAATGGGCAAAATATAATGGGTTTACCCTGAATTACGGAGCCAAACCTATAGTGTAAAACCATAGCCTGTAAAACCATCAGGTGCTACAACCAACCAGGGCCAGATTTACTCATAGGCATTCTAGGCACGTGCCTATGGTCGCTCGTCCAGGGGGGTCCAAACACAATGAAGATATATCTAATATTTGTTATACTATGGGCTATCTACAACAAAAGAACCAAACCCCCAGAAGACATTGAGCAAATCAATATAACAATAGGGTAAAAAAAAATGACAAACGATGTCCATGTCTTCCACCTTTTTTTATGTAGCCTAGGCTACGAAAATCATGCTTTCTTTCTCCCAGTCTCTCTCACAGATGCACACAGTACAGACACACACTCGCGCACACACGCGAACAGAAACTTCTTGTCAGCGCTGCCCCGCGAATTTATCAATAAAATAGTTTGCAGCTGAAAAGCTACATTACAGTTGGGAGGTTCTTGAAGCAGTTTAACTTAAAGATTCGCTATTAATCCATACTGCTGCTGAGACGCACATATTCACACGCGCTTAAAGGGATAGTTCACCCAAAAATGAAAATTCTGTCATCATTTACTCACCCTCAAGTAAAGGAAGATATTCTGAAGAATGTGGGAAACAGAGCAGTTCTGGGGCACCATTGACTTCCATAGTATTTTTTTCTCCTACTATGGAAGTCAATGGTGCCCCAAAACAGTCTGGTTACAAATTTTCTTCAAAATATCTCCCTTTCTGTTTGGCAGAACAAAGAAATTTATACGGGTTTGGAACTATTGAGGGTGAGTAAATGACAGAATTTAAATTTTTGGGTGAACTATCCCTTTAATCTCTCTCTCTCTCTAATAAACGTATTAGACTGCATATCAATGGCCCAAGCTTCTGTTATTAGCTCTAAAATTACGGGTTGGAATTTGCGTCAAAAAATTTGCGTAAAAAATTAGTTAAACACGGAAACATGTCAAATGTCTTGAAACAAATCATCTGAACAATGTCTTGATGTGTGGTTGTGACTCCAGGCCGTTAAAATTATTATAGAAATAATGTACTCCCGAAGTGGTTATTATGTGGTCACGTCGCCGCACCTATTAATGGAATGGTCTTTCTCAGTTCTCAAACAAATTAAGAACTACATTCGATTTTTATTGACTGAACGCAAGCGCTTATTGCGATAGAAAACACTGTAACGATTTCCACTGGTTAAGAATTATTTTTGTTTGTTTGGGTGATAATATTAGGCCTAACACCGGCCCTGCAACCAACCATAAAATCATCAACACTTACCTGTGACGGGGCTGACGAGACGTGAGACGTGTGGATCCATCTGCAAGCTTTTATTCAAGAGACGTGGTATAACAGGCAGGGTCGAACAATGGCAAACAGGTATATGGCGGGCAAAAACACAAGAATAGTCCTAGGGCTAGCGTAGGTCACCGATCGGCAGACAGAATCACAGGGGCGAGACGAGAGGGAAAATCCAGGAAAACAGGCAAAGAACAGAACCCGCAAAAACAGGCAAGGCAAAACAAGGAAAACACAGAGACTCGGAATGGGGTACAGGCTAAACAATACTCAGTAGAGAATGGTGGTTTGAGTGGGTGTTATATAGTGAGTGAGGTGATAAGAAACAGCCGTGTGCAATGAGTGCAGTCAGTGCAGTGTGCAAACCGTGCAATGAATGATGGGATATGTAGTCCGGGGTGCTATGCAACAGTTTGTGTTGTGCGAGAGTCAATGTAATGGAAAGGGTGACCTCTGGTGGTGAATAAATGGAAGTCCATGGACCGAATTCGTGACAGTATTCCTATAGGTAGATGTGATCAGCTGAGAATCAGCTGATGCAAGCTTGACTCACGTGACCAGCCAGAACTAATGCTAACGCTTAATTTGATAGATGATAGATACTTAGCATAAAGTTTGGTTTGGTGGTATGGTTCTGTTCTGGGCATGACAGGACAAGCAGGGAGTTCGTAAACGGCCTCTATAGCCGTGACAGGACAGACAGAGAGTTCCCAGACGACCTCCTTGGCCGGAACAGAAAGGCAGAGAGTTCAGTAACGGCCTCCTTGGCCGGAACAAGACAGACAGAGAGTTCATAGACGGCCTCCCAGACGACCTCCTGCATAAGCCGCCACCTCTGGAGATGTTGTAGCTGGTGCTGCTGCCTCTAGCAAATCGGCGGTGGAGTACGCAGCCCAGATACACCATAAAGCAACCCCCCATATGAAAAGTGCTGCAGACAGGGGGATGAGTTCATGAATCGAAGGGTTAGAGTGAGTGGGTTTGGGGATACCAGCTGTGCGTGCAGACACCAGTGGTGCATCCCTACTGTGACTTTAGTTGACTCAGGGGACCCAACTGTGATTTGACCTGACTCATGATAATCAACTGTGACTAGACTTCAGAGCAATGTACATTTTACTACACATTTGATTGGAAAAATTACACATTTGTGGGGAAATATATATATAGTACTGGACTATATAATGAATATATATATATATATATATATATATATATATATATATATATATATATATATATATATATATATATATACA